TGGTCTGAACAGTACAAATCAGTTCCAGAACAACAGCAAAGGACCTTGTGAAGACACTGGAGGCAAACAGGTACCAAAGTATCTATATCCACAGTAAAACAAGTCCTATATTGACATAACCTGAAAGGAAGAAGCCACTGCTCCAAGGCTGCCATAAAAAGGCCGACTATGGTTTGCACCTGCACATGGTGACAAAGATCTGACTTGGAGAAATGTCCTCTGGTCTGATGAAACAAAACCTGAACTGTTTGGCCACAATGACCATCGTTATGTCTGGAGGAAAAAGGAGGAGGCTCACAAGCTGAAGAACACTATCCCAACCGTGAAGCATGCGGGGTGGCAGCATCATGCTGTGGGGGTGATTTGCTGCAGGAGGGACTGGGCCACTTCACAAACTAGATGGAGTCATGAGGAAGGAAGATGATGTGGATATATTGAAGCAACATCTCAGGACATCAGGAAGTTAAAGCTTGGTGACCAAGGGGTCTTCCAAATGGACAATGACCCCAAGTAGACTTCCAGAGTTGTGGCAAAATGGCTTAAAGACAACGAAGTCAAGGTATTGGAGCCGCCATCCATAAGCCCTGACCTCAGTCCAATAGAAAGTATGTGGGCAGAACTGAAAAGTGTGTGTGAGCAAGGAGGCCTCCAAACCTGACTCAGTTCCACCAGTTCTTTCAGGAGCAATGGGCTGAAATTCAGGCAACTGATTGTAAGAAGTTTGTGGAAGGCATCAAGAAACATTTGAGCCAAGTTAAACAATTTAAAGACAATGCCACCAAATACTAACAGAGTGTATGTGAACTTCTGACCCTTTGGGAATGTGATGAAAGGAATAAAAGTTGAAATAAATATTTTTCTCTACTATTATTCTGACATTTCACATTCTTAACCAACCTAAGACGGGGGATGTTTATAGGATTAATGTCAGGAGTTGTGAAAAACTGAGTTTGTCTATCTGACTAAGGTGTCTGTAAACTATATACATATACTGTATATAATATTAGGAAATAAAGCCACAAATGTAGGCTTACTTGCCTTGAAGAAAATGAGTGGTTCAAAATGTTCGCTCTATTTCTTAATATCATGTAAGCTTTCAGTGTGTGGTCATTTTTCTTATTTTTGATTCACTGGCAGTTACTAACAACTAATCTCTATGTAAGAACTAGTGTGTGTGGTCCAACCCATTTTAATGTAGTGATGTCAAGTCTCCACTTAGTGTAAACTCTTGCATTATAACTAGGCTGAAAAGAGCTGGTGCAACTGTCTCCTGGTGTTGCTTGTCATAATGGGTTCAGTTCATAATTGGTGGGTAAAATGTAATTATAGCTGACAGTAATGTTATCTAATGGCAGGGATCTACATTACGCCTGTTGAGCCAATTATGAATACAATTTGGGCGTGACTATTGATTGAACCAAGTTGGACTGGGTATGCAGTCATTAAACAGCTTTACCTTTTTCAAAGACTACTCACCTTCAGTTCAGACCATAGAGTTTACATTGCCCACACATCTCCATCAAAGATCTCACACAAAAACTGTGTATGAACTAACTTGCATATAAACAATGAAAGCTACTGGTTGCCATTCAAAAACATGACTGTGTTCTCACTAGATTTGTGAGGTCCTCTGTCACCAGAACTCCAGTGATTACTGACCAGTTGTTTAGTGTTAGTGTACTTACTCCATCGTAAGGTGCACGCTCTTTCTGCCTGTGCAGCAGAAACCATCTTCATGTGTCGTTTATCCATCCGGTTTCAGCTCATCTTCAAGTGTTTGTCCCAAGTTTAAATCTGCAAAACCAAGACTGAGTTTCTAAAAAAAAAAAAAAAAGCTATTCCTTTTGGGAGAATCTCGCTATGGGTACACAGATGTAGCTTTGACTCTTTTCTGCTTTCCAGATGAAGTACAGCACAGCAACAGCTCATCTTTTCTCTAATGCCCACTCCATTTGGAAAAAGCATAAGATGTATTATTGATCACTGTTGGATATGTTCTTCACTAACATTTGTGCATGTGTGCATCTACATGGAAGTGTGTGTGTGTGTGTGTGTGTGTGTGTTATTACTCATGTTGTGGGCATGCAAATCTGTTTACACAGTCACATGGTAGGGACTTGAAGTCGTTATGGCGACAAAAAGCAAGTCCCCAAAACATAAATCATCAAATTTCAGAGAGATGACCTGATTTGGGGTAAAGGTGAGGGTGAGGTGTTAGGCAAGTAGTGGTTAGGTATAAGGTTTAGGGAAAGTCTCCAGGAATTGAGTGTAAGTCAGTGTAATGTCTCCTTAAGTGATAGAAACACAACATACATGTACAGTATGTGTGTTTGTGTGTCTGTATATACTTGTCTTTAATGCACTGAGTGGACAGATTTTTGTTTGATACCATTGTTGTGAGGACATTTTAGCCAGTCCTCACAACTTCAAAGTTTTGATGGTTAAGGTTAGAAATAAATTTAAGGTTAGTGTAAGGGATGAGAGTAAACATTTATTTGTGTCAGTTAAGGTCAGGGTTAGGGCCATGGGGAATGTATTACAGTGGATATAAAAAGTCTACACATCCCTGTTAAAATGCCAGGTTTCTGTGATGTAAAAAAACAAGACCAAGATAAATAATTCCAGAACTTTAGCCACCTTTAATGTGACCTATAACTTGTACAACTCAATTGAAAACAAACTGAAATCTGTTTTTCAGTGGGAAGTAAAAATAAAAAACTAAAATAATGTGGTTGCATTAGTGTGCACACCCTCTTACTGTGGGGCTGTGACTGTTGTCAGAATTAAGCAGTCACATTCAAACTCATGTTAAATAGGAGTCAGTACACCTGCCATCAATTAAAGTGCCTCTGATTAACCCCATATAAAGTTCAGCTGTTCCAGTAGGCTATTCCTGACATTTTCCTAGTCGCATCCTACAGCAAAAGCCATGGTCCGCAGAGAACTTCCAAAGCATCAGAGGGATCTCATTGTTAAAAGGTATCAGTCAGGAGAAGGGTACAAAAGAATTTCCAAGGCATTAGATATACCATGGAACACAGTGAAGTCAGTCATCATCAAGTGGAGAAAATATGGTGCAACAGTGACATTACCAAGAGCTGGACGTCCCTCCAAAATTGATGAAAAGACAAGGAGAAAACTGGTCAGGGAGGCTGCCAAGAGGCCTACAGCAACATTAAAGGAGCTGCAGGAATTCCTGGCAAGTACTGGTTGTGTAGTACATGTGACAACAATCTCCCGTATTCTTCATTTGTCTGGGCTATGGGGTAGAGTGGCAAGACGGAAGCCTTTTCTTACAAAGAAAAATATCCATGCCCGGTTACATTTTGCAAACACACATTTGAAGTCTCCCAAAGGCATGTGGGAAAAGGTGCTATGGTCTGATGAAACCAAGGTTGAACTTTTTGGCCATAATTCCAAAAGGTATGTTTGGCGCAAAAACAACACTGCACATCACCAAAAGAACACCATACCCACAGTGAAGCATGGTGGTGGCAGCATCATGCTTTGGGGTTGTTTTTCTTCAGCTGGAACTGGGGCCTTAGGGACTTGAATCCGATTGAACATCTGTGGGGTGATCTGAAGAGGGCTGTGCATAGGAGATGCCCTCGCAATCTGACAGATTTGGAGTGTTTTTGCAAAGAAGAGTGGGCAAATATTGCAGAGTCAAGATGTGCATTACTGATAAACTCATACCCAAAAAGACTGAGTGCTGTAATAAGATAAAAAGGTGCTTCAACAAAATATTAGTTTAAGGGTGCACACTAATGCAACCACATTATTTTAGTTTTTTATTTTTACTTCCCACTGAAAAAAAGATTTCAGTTTGTTTTTCAATTGAGTTGTACAAGTTATAGGTCACATTAAAGGTGGCTAAAGTTCTGGAATTATTTATCTTGGTCTCGTTTTTTTACATCACAGAAACTTGGCATTTTAACTGGGGTGTGTAGGCTTTTTATATCCACTGTATGTCAATGAGTGTCCCTACAGCTTTAGTAGGACACAATTGTGTGTCATCCTCCAAACTGGACTACTTCCATGTCTCCTACTTCAATAGCATGCCTCCTCTTGTCTTGGGAAAAGGTTTGAAGTTCCTCCCCCTCAGCTGGGACTTTGCCTGTTTGAATGAATAAGATCCTTGTACTGATTTACACATGTGGTTCGGTGCGTCAGAGAAGAAATCTTAGCGTACACATACAGTACAGTACATAATCTGTGTATTCATGTGTACAGTGGAACCTTGGATTGTGAGTAACATGGTCTGCGAGTGTTTTTCAAGATGAGCAAAAATTTTGATTCGATAAACAAGCGAGGTCTCGCAATACGAGTAGTACGTACGCTTTGTCTGCTGAGCGTCACGTCACAACTGAGCTGATGGTTCTTGCGCTTCACTCGTATAGTCAACACCTGTACTGCAACAATGGCCCCTCACGCCAGCCACGATTCTTTTCAAAGGTAAAGTGCAGGTTAATTTGTTTTATTTTTACTGTAATCATTTTTATATGAATAAGTGGTTGTGGAATGAATCATCTGAGTTTCCATTATTTCTTATGGGGAAATTCGCTTTGATATACGAGTGCTTTAGATTACGAGCACGTTGCCGGAACGAATTATACTCAGCAATCCAAGGTTGTATTTGGTTTCACATCATCATCTCCTAATCTCTTCACTGCATCCCTCCTCCCATTATACAGCTTTTAAAGCTTTTAACTTGTTAATCAGAATTTGCCAGCAATCCATATTTTTGAGAGCATAATTGGGTCAGACTCTTCTCCTGGATACATGCAGAGAGTACAAGCTCCAAAATGTGAAATTGTGGCCTTCACTGTGAATCATCAGAAGTAGTTGTCATCATCATGACACAACATTTATAAAACAAATTATTTTGGGATTAATGTTCACATGAAAACCTTTCTGAGCTGCTGAACAGGAAGTTTGCCCTTTAGTCACAACTTACCAGTGCTTTCCTCGTCTCTAATGAATCCCTTTCCTCTCTGCAGGAGCCCGGTTGCAGTCGGCCATGGTTGCTACTGTTTGGCCCTGCTGAGGTCTGTGCCAGCTGCAGCCTACATTGTATTGGTAACTGTTCTGCGCTACCATCTCTTCATATGGAGCGTCTTTTCACCCAAATTACTGTACGAGTCGATGCACCTGCTGCTGACTGCAGGAGTCTGTCTCTTCTTCAGCACAATGGAGCAAAGCCAGTAAGTGTTAGGGAGGAGCCATAGACTGACCGTCTTCCCTTATGGAATACACAGAGGGTTGAACGCAGTCTGTTATTACTGTATGTAAGACACACTCACATATGCATATTCTCTCTCTCATGTTCACAATATGTGAATAGATGCTTCAAAGAGAGACAGTGGACTCTGTACACCTGGTTTGCAAAAAACACTTTGCACTTAATGTATTTTTCTGAGTGCTTTATTTAATATGTCATTTTTCAAAGGAGAGAATGTCTGAAGATGAATAAAAGTGAAAAGCTCTACGGATCTCACTGGAAAGACAACATTTTTACATATATATATAGTGGAAAATACCTCAGGGACCGGTGTTCGTTGAGCTGCTGAGCTGTGTAGGCAGCAGGGGGGAGTGTCACATCGGTGTGTACGATATGGTCATTGAGTGGCTTCATTCACATTTCCTGATGTGTTTTGGTTAGCCATGCTACTAACATTACCTACTTTCTATTACCAGCAATTTCTACCACCAGTGTGTAGGCACTGATAAATTAAAAAGCAGATTAACATCCTATAGCCCTTGCGCTCATTGCACCACCCAAAAGTTTTCCACAAGGCCAGGCAGCAGACGTGTTACCACTGTTTTTGTAGCTAAATCTAGTAAGCTATGGCAGAGAAGGTACCCACAGCAGCTTTCGGTCGCAAACAGAAGATAGTATTCGAGAAAATTACAACTAAAAAGAAGTTGGATGCTGCAAGAAGTAAAACCAGAATTAACATTGGTGTGGCTTTTCAATGACGGCGACAACTGAGAGAACAAAATGGGCTGAAAAGTGACGCCACGGTGGCAGTACTTCTGCTGGACAGGTAATTATCGGTTTGGTTTTGTTTGGGAGTCATTTGTTGTTTTCCTGAAATCTGTAAGTAGCGGTCAGGCAGCGCACGTTGCAGTGCGCTTTGTTTTGGAGGAGTGGCTTTGGAGAGAAGTCAGAATGAAAGGATGGGATTTCTTCAGTTGACTACCTTAAAAATCAAGCTTGCTCTTACTGGTTTTTCCCAAGAACACCAACCCTACCTTTTTAACTGTGGCCTAAATTCTAGAGTGACTCTCAATTAATGTTCATGCTGACATGGTGAACCTATTCCCATGAGCATCCGTGTTCTGACCATCCCCATACGTGATTGATTAAAGGAGCTCATTTGCTGGATGATGTCACCATCCACTGTGGAAAAAGCTGAACCAGATCCAAATTTTTTTGCACAGGGCTGCATCATTTTTCTGGGGCTCCCCTGCGTTGAAATTAATGGAGACGCCTTTGAAATTCAGTCCAAAGTCAAACTAAGCAATGTTGGGAGCTCACCAAACAAAAGTATTAATAATAAAGTGTTAACAGTAAAATTAAAGATGACTGGTACTGTGTGTAGAGCTGCTGTGCTACCACAACGCCTGTGCTTTTCCTGCTGTGACAGGTCAAAATGTCTGCTGTGTAAAGTGTTTTCTCGACAGTCATAACAGTCTGTGTGGCGCTGGCCTAACAGGTAGGATAGAACTAAGAGAAGAATGAGGGGACAGCATGTACCTGCCCACACACTCTTGAGCAGAGGTCTCATCAGACAACTGGAGTGAAGTCGCTTGCGTGGGCATTAATCAGGGAGTTTCAAGGACATTGCATTTGTTTCTCATCAGAACATTTTCAGTACATTGGTCTGACAAATATTTACCCGTGTTTAGTGACAGTACTTACTGTGTTTGTATGTGAACACAGAGACATCCCCGGTGTTTGTACTGACATGAAGGTAAAGGCTTAGTAAGAGTCTTAAGATGTTTGCTTTAGATTTCAGAGCAGATGAGCAGTAAACACTCTGGGACTTCTTGATCCTAGTCTCCATTTGGAGGTGTCTGCAGGACAGTAAACCAAATTTATCAAAAACCTTTCAATTTACTGACCTACATTTATTCATATTGCAGTTTTAAATAAATCAGTTATCTGATTCCCATGTAGTCCACCATTTACTTCAGACACTCAATCTTCATACAGAATTTATTGAACAGGAAAGGAAATATTACCAGGTATGAAAAGGTTTGTATTATAATTTTTAGTGTTGTACAACTCTAAAAGAGATTTTGTTAATGTAGCAGCAATTTAAAGTCTTGGCAAAGCATATTTTTCTTGAGGACATATTTAAGCTCATTTTAACACTAGCATCAGATTTTTATCAAGTTCTCATATTTCTGAAATGTAGCTCTTGAGAGATATCTTGTCTCCAGATTGTGTTTCCAAGCTTTTAAAATATTCCAGATTTTCCAGACAGCCATTCTGTATGACATCATGTGTGTCGAGGAGAGCCGAGAGTTGGACAGCAGTGATAGCTTCTCTAACGTCAGTTCGTGTTTATTCATGTCATTTACATCATAAATGTCTGATAAGTATCACAAAGAGAGCAAAGACTTTTCATTGTCATCGATGTCAGTGAGCAGTTGTGACTACTTCAAAGCTTCTTCCCATTTATAACTTGGTAGTTCTTAAATTGTTACCCTTTGTGATTTGTCTGGGGAAAAAAGCAGATGGAAAGATTTACCGTGCTACAATGTGCAACTTTTGGCCTCCAGGCATAAAGGTGAATCGTACGTTGCCACCCCAACACTTGTCACTCACCTTGATGAGCTGTCTTCCTTGAAACGGCGTCTCGCCCGTGGCCCGTATTACTGACATCCCCAAAGCTGCGACAGGCAGCAGAGAAGCAGATGGCAACAAACCAAGACGGGCCACACTTTGTTTTGCTGCTGTCGTGGTTGTTGCTGTGTCTCGCCTTGTCAGGGAAAAGCTCAGCACTGACTACACCCACAGACAACAGAATTTAAATGTCCCGACCATCACTGAAAAGTTTCCATTTGAATAGAGCAGGTCGCTGACAGACACAGGCTGCATGTGGATCACAGCATGTTAGCTGCTTTGACATTCCTCTCTTCTGCAGAATAAGGAATCTCACACAGATGTCACTCTAATGGAAACAGTTTGTGAACCATGATAATGATTTACATCACGTCTCATCACGTTGCTCATCTAACATCAATATTGTCTTTGCAGACTGAGAGAATACTTAGAAACTTTAGGACATACAGTGCCTTGCAAAAGTATTCATACCCCTTGAACTTTTCCACATTTTGTCACATTACAACCACAAACTTAAATGTATTTTATTGGGATTTTATGCGATAAACTAACACAAAGTATCGGATAATTGTGAAGTGGAAGGAAAATGATACGTGGTGTTCAAGATTTTTTACAAATAAAAATTTGAAAAGTGTGGTGTGCATATGTATCCAGCCCCCTTTACTCTGATATCCCTAAATAAAATCCAGTGCAACCAACTGTCTTCAGAAGTTACCTAATTAGTAAATAGAGTCCACCTGTGTGTACATCAATCTCAGTATAAATACAGCTGTTCTGTGAAGGCCTCAGAGGTTTGTTAGAGAACATTAGTGAACAAACAGCATCATGAACACTAAGGAACACACCAGACAGATCAGGGATAAGGTTGTGGAGAACTTTAAAGCAGGGTTAGGTTATAAAATCATATCCCAAGCTTTGAACATCTTACAGAGCACTGTTCAATCCTTCATCTGAAAATGGAAAGCGTATGGCACAACTGCAAACCTAACAAGACATGGCCGTCCACCTAAAGTGTCAGGCCGGACAAGGAGAGCATTAATCAGAGAAGCAACCAAGAGGCCCATCGTAACTCTGGAGGAACTGCAGAGATCCACAGCTCAGGTGGGACAATCTGTCCACAGGACAACTATTAGTTGTGTACTCCACAAATCTGGCTTTTATGGAAGAGTGGCAAGAAGAAAGCCATTGTTGAAAGAAAGCAATAAGAAGTCCCGTTTGCAGTTTGTCACAAGCCACATAGGGGACACAGCAAACATGTGGAAGAAGGTGCTCTGGTCAGATGAGACCAAAATTGAACTTTTTGGTCTACATGCAAAACGCTATGTGTGGTGGAAACAGAAAACCTGTTAGAAGCTGCAAAAGACTTGAGACCAGGGCAGAGGTTCACCTTCCAGCAGGACAACAACCCTAAACATACAGTTAGAGCTACAATGGAATGGTTTAGATCAAAGCATATTCATGTGTTAGAATGGCCCAGTCAAAGTCCAGACCTAAATCCTATTGAGAATCTGTGGCAAGACTTGAAATTTGCTGTTCACAGACGCTCTCCATCCAATCTGACTGAACTGGAGCTATTTTGCAAAGATGAATGGGCAAAAATTGCAGTTTCTAGATGTGCAAAGCTGGTAGAGACATACCCCAAAAGAATTGCAGTGAGAGGTGGTTCGACAAAGTGCTGACTCGGGGCTGGATACATGTGCACACCACACTTTTCAGATTTTTATTTCTAAAAAAATCTTGAACACCACGTATCATTTTCCTTCCACTTCACAATTATCTGATACTTTCATTGGTCTATCACATAAAATCCCAATAAAATACATGTAAAATGGGCCCACATGACATAATATAAAACTCGGGATACTGTGCGTATTGCAGCTCCACAATTTATTTATTTAGTTCATTTGAATACACCTCTGCTTTGGATATGCTCCCTGAAGGCTGTTGACCACATGTGGAGCAAGAGAAAGTGTAGAAGAAAGTCTGAGTTTACAATGACCAAACTTTAATTGAAGAAGAAACCAACAAACATATTTTGGAACTTCAGTCATGTTTCACTGTCTAACACTAGAAAATGATCTGCAAGTCCTTAGTAAATATCCCCCTTGAGTATCGACATGTAATCAAGGTTTTATTTACTTAAAGGTTATTGTGTAAAAGTGGGAGGCAAGGTCAGAATATGGTGAATCACAGTCACTGAAATGAACCCCACTGAAACTGCTCAGCTCACAAAGGAAAAATAAATCTTCATAACACCCGCCGTTACATTAGTTTCTTAAGTTGGTTTATGTTTTTTCATGTAGAACGTGTCTGCACTGGTGCAAGAAGCAGCCTCAGAGCAGCTTCTCACAAATCTGATGGGATAACAAAGTCCTTCCTCTGTATCCAAATACCCAGCAGCCCATGAAATGGATCAGAATAATTGTAGGGTCCACACGGTTGAAAGAGTTTCAGCATGTGCTGTTTATACATCACATGAAAAGTGGGCTACCTCTTGTGTATTTCTTTTTCAGCTTTATCATAGTAGAAATCACACTCACATTGTTGAATGATCCTTCAGGTACATTGATTTACGTCTGCATTAGTCTTAACAACGTAACTTTCCCCCCAGCTGTTAGACAATTGTCAAACCAAACCTGTATCTATTTACAGCACCTGTCTGATATTTTTTAAGACAGTTTTGGGAAGGTTTCTTAAATTCTTGTTTGTTTTTCTTTTTCCTCATTTTGAAAAATGTATGTCAGTGAAGAAGAACAGCACCACTTTGTGCTTCTTGTAACATCCCATTAGTTGTGTTTGTTTAGTTTATGGTAACTATGCAATTGATCCTGTTTGTGTATGCACACATACTGCCCTGTCTGTCTCTGTTCCCTTAAATTAAATGCTGAGTTTGATGAAATGCCTTCTGAAGTTAAATCGACTAATTTCCATTTTTACCTGCTTTTATGCATTGTCTTTGTTTGGGATTTTGGCTTCTTTGCTGTGCAACAAATGTGAAATAAAATAAAAGTGAGACATGACAAACCATTTTTTTTAATCATCATTCTCAAATAATTATTTTATGCCTTCAGGAGCTGGATTTCCATGCCATCATAAAAGAAGGAGCCACACATTTTATGC